CATAATACTTTCAATACTTGCACATCTTTTAAAATAGTCTCCCACTAATCTGTAGTATTTGCAAGGTTAGTTCACGTACAGTTTATACAAAAGAAAAGATATAAAAAAATTGAAGAGTGCTAACGTTAAATACATTAATATCAGTCCAAGTAAAACACCAGACTGAACATTTTAACAATAAATAAACAGAGAGAACAGAAAGTGCTGAAAGACTCAGCAGATCTGGCAGCAAGCGTGGAGACAGAAACAAAATTAACATCAAGTCCAATAAGATTCATCAGAACTGCTTCAAAACAACAATTGTGTCTCGCCACAGCTGCTGCCAGACCTGCTGAGTTTCTCCAGCACTTGGTTTTTATTTCAGATTTCCAGCATCTGAAGTGTTTTGCTTTTGAGCAAGTAAACTAACTGCTCAGAAAGTATTGTTGTTTATCGAAGTCTTTTTACAAGAAAATCTGCCTCCATTTTGTCCCAAAACCAAAATTAGCTTTTTTTGTTTGTTGTTCCTTAATTATTATTCAACAACAGCAAATGCAAACATTAATATAACTGATGACTTTACAGCACATAGTGCTCCCACATTGCAGCACAACACCTTGTCATTGTTCAATCTGCATTAAGTAAAGAGTTGCCTATATCGGACAGGATTCTAACATGACATGGTATTAATGATGGATTGCCACTGCAGCTTCATTCTTAATGCTGCAGTCACAAACGACAGTTGGTCAGATAGGTGATGATGTCAAATGGCCATTCATTTCCGTGGTGAGCTATTTGTGGCTGGCAGCATTTGACCTGATGCACAGATGGACAAAAGTCTTAAGAGTGGCAAGTACTTCCACTGCTGGCAAGAGTGTGAGCACAGCACTGTAAAGACAGTGCATATATAAATGAGGTGAACAGCAGAGAATTGCGTGGGATAACTTGCTAGATTCAGAGTGACACCCGCCATGACACTGAGAAACAGACACCTAGCCAAGCTTTGGTAAAATTAAGCTCTATATTCTGAATTTAGCAAGTGTTTGTTGAGTATAGTTAGTTCTCTACCTGGTAAGCAGCAAAAGGGATTTGCTGTTTAATATAGTCCATCAATTGTTAACATGTATAGCCTACATACATTGCATCAAACTGCCACTGAAACTGATTTGCCATATAATGTATTTGTGCGGCAGGCAGAACATCTTTTTACCTGGAGTGCAGCATCCCATTAGTGCAGAACGCCACTTGTGTTGTCACTATAAAGCAAGGCTTTTTTTAAGTTTTAGAAGGGTTCTCTAGTGCTTCTTTTTCCCTGATTTCAGGGGCTGCTTTTTCGTTCTTACTATTTTTTAAAAATAATGTGATGTTGTCATGTAGTAACATTGTCTGTCAACACATGCAGGTAATGTATTTGTCACCCCCCCCAAAACAGCAATTAAATCAACACCATTAAAGTCACAACACCTAAATAAAGCACTAACATCACAGATACCACAGTATTTAAAATAGATATGACAAAAGATATGTTCCCCAAAATAACTGACATGTACACCTACAGGCAAAATTCCATCATGCTAAACATTACCCACAAAGGTCACAGGTAATGCTTTTCTGTCATATGTTCAAAGTTGAAAAGCTTGAATATTTTAACCAGGTAAATTACTACCTTTTTCATAGTATCAAAGTTTAAATTTGATACAATGTTCATTGTAATAGTAGTCACTGCAATATTCCCCATAGATTAGCTCCTCAACATATGCAGACTTAAGCTGTTTGTTTAAATTTAAACAATCTGGCAATTAACTATTCCCTGGTCCATTATACATGACAATACCTCTGCGACTTGCCTACCATGCTCTCCATAAACTTGGACCACCAACCGTGTTTCTGACATTTTGTTTCAAATTGTTTATAGGATTTAGACATCGCTGACCTGGCCAGCACTTACTGGCCATCCTTAAAAACCCAGAGAGTATCAATTGTAAGCAAGATCAGGTAAAGCTGGCAGGTTTTCTTTCCTGACAGACATTAGCGAACTAGCTAGGTTTTTAAAATAATTGACTTTGGTTACATGGTCGCCATTAGGCTAGTACTTTTTTTTTTACATTCATGCTATCATCAAGACAGAAAAGCTCGCACATCCCGTTACACTATAGTGTCCCTATTTTGAATAAAATCTCAAATAAGAAAAATCCAGATTAGAATTCAAACAAAGCTTAGAATACCAAACAGCACATTACGGCTAAAGTTCTAGGTTGTGAATTCTCCTCAGTTGTATAAGCCTCACTGCCTCTCAGAACAATCTACTCTATGAAAGACAAAAGGGGTCTGGACAGGAGAGCTGGTGTGGTGAGAACTCTATCCAAAGAACCAAGTGCACATATGCATAAAGTAATAAAAAATTTAAGAGAATGCTGAATTTTACATTGCCAATTCCCTTGAGATAAAGTAATAATGTTTCTTTTGTAGAAAGCCTTAAATCATTTCTGAAATAATGCACAGCATCAGTTTTGGGAACGGAACATCAGGATATGTTATTTTCTGAAAAAGGGCAAGACACAGATTGCCAGAATAAACTCTAGTATTAAAGAATTATGGAAGGCACATTACATAGACATGTTTTATCCCCTTGAGTTTTGAAGACAGAGTTGATGTAATCAGTGTTTAAATGAATAAAAGTGTATTTGCCCTGTCAAATCCGGAGAAGCTATTTCCTTTAATGGAGGAATCCAGAACATGGGCAAACGAGAGTTAGGCCACTTTTCCCTCCCACAAAGTGCAATATTAACATAAAACACTCTCCCTCCCAAAAGACCACAGATCTTGGTACAAAAGGGTATGTTAAAAAATGGCAATGAAACGAGGGTCCAAACTATCCATAAGCAAAAAGCGCTTACATCCCATTTCCAAGTTAGTCCCAAGGTGAGGAAGGAATGCCACAGTTTCTACTATGCAATCACATTTATTCACTTTTAGATTTGGTGACTTATTTTTCCAGACTTAAGATTGTTTAGGGAAGTTTAAAGCCAAGGAACTATGCTACTTTAAATATTGTAAGTTTATTTTGAAGTAAACACTTTTCCTAGCTGCTTAAGACCATCAATTACTATTTGAGCCAATGTTTATTTGTAGTTACTTCGCCAAGCACTAACCACATTACAGTACGTAAATTATATTCTTTAAATAGCTTTATACCCAGCTCAACAGGTTAGCATTTTGAAAGAATCTCAGTTGAGAGGCATAATGATTGATTTTTAAATTTGCACAGTTTCCCGGTTTATTTCCAAATTCTAATTTAAAATCAATTCATAGAACTAAGCACCATTGTAGTCAAAAACCATGATAACACCGAATACAATTGCTTAGATTTGCCATGGGAAATGCAATTATAAACCATGTACATGTTTGACTGTTGACAGAAAATAGCACCTATTCCTTATGAATTATAATCCTGTAATACACAAATACACAGTGAATACAAGAAAGTAGTATGAAACGTTTAAATAAAAAGTGTAACCTTTCATGGTGGTGTTTCCCCTTCCTAGTGTAGATTGTAAAAAGATGATCCATGGAAAAGAATCCATGAGGCAACAAGCTGTTGCCAACTAATGCAACTTCCAATAAGGATGTGTGCTTGAAGCAAGGCATTTGTCTTTTCAGTTTCAAAACTGATATTATATTTTCAAAAACAAAAGGTTCAGAGCAGATACTTCAATGACAATGTTTTTATTAATATCAAGCTTCTCCCACCCATTCTATACACCAAATATATATTTCTTCTGACTCCACACCGAACTTCTACTGTACCAATGCAGTCATTTTTTAGTATTATTTTGAAACTAAGTATAACCACCATTCTTTTTTGTGCCTTAAATCATAAACTGCACATTCAAATATTTAAATTCCCATCCCCCAACATGAGCTCAGATTCATGGACTAGAATAGTTTTCTCCTTGCTGAAACCATGCATGAATATCCTAACAGCAGAGCACAGTACTGGAGGCTGTCAGCAAATGGCAGTACAGACAGCTGCCAAGTCTTGCAGGCTCCGTGCTCTAATATGGAACAGCTGGAAGAGGACTGTGCATTCTTTTCTCTGAGTAAACACTAAGGGCTCTGTTCAGTATCCTACTGCAATCAAGCCTAAAGAATTCCACCAGTGAACACACAGACTTCTATTACTTCTCCCCAATACACCCTTTGTATTCCTACGAAGGAAAAGTGCAGATATACATGATTTTATCTGGTGCTGCAACTGTGTCATTTTTAAATAACTATTTGTGCAGAATTCTTCCACACTCAAATATTCCCGTCAATCCTACCACATTCTGTCTGCTGCATAGGCCAGGGTGAAACATTATAGTACAAATATGTTCACATATTATTTCAACCTTAGCTTCAGCACAAATATGACGATGTGCTTCTCCGTAAACGGCGACTGCATGCTACATTCCCCAAGTTTTACTAAGGTCCCATTTACATTTTATTTCTAATATACAAATCGACTCAGACTTTTGGCCTTCACTTCTGCGTACTCAGAGGAGAAAATTAGGTTTTTTCCTAAAATCGGATTACAGTGCCCATGACAATATAACTGCAATCCTTTTGGTTTGAGTGTAAATAAGTATTAAATTGCGATATTCGTAAGCAGACTGAAAAAAGGTATCTTCAGTTATTGGGATCAATATTCGTATCGCTGAAATAGAAAGCTACGTGTAGCGAAACGATCGGAAAAGAGACCAAGCCACGTTGTCCAGAAAGCACAGGATACCCAGACTCTACGTGACATGACTGGGTTATTGTACAGGAAATTGCAGAACAAGATGCATCAAAGCGTTTTACTCCTTACGTTGGTGTGATGTTCCTTCTACACCGCAATGAAATACACCAATTGTCAATTTAAAATGTTACCAAATACATGTGCATGTTGAATTAAATTATTCAATTGGAACAATTTCGCATCAGTCTCGGATATGAGCTTGAATAAACAGCGTAAAAATTATTAGTTACATTAAACTTACCGGGATCATTTGCCTCTCCCTCGAGAATATGAAGCTCGGTGCAATCGGACAAAGAATGCTCTAGACAAATCTGAAGGAAACGAGCCTGTGTCCGGCTCACTCGTTTCAATAGAGACAACAAAGCTACAGTTTGTTCACATTCATTCCACCCTTTAAACCATCCTGCAAGAACGCCGACTTGATCTCGAAACATCATGATTAAGGAACAGCCTCAGCACTGGGCGAGTTTATATCGTGGGATTCTTCGATGCAAGGCACCCAAAAAAAATCAAGCTCACATGCATGTAGAGGAGGGGTTGTCACATTTTGTGTGGATCGAGTTGCGATTTTTTCTTTCCTTTTCTGTAGAATAACGTCACTGTTGACACGCTCCCTCTTCCTCCAAGGCAATCAACAGTGGGCCAAAAATGTAATAGGCACAACAAGTATATCACCTGTCAGAATTAACAGAGCTGGAATTTTAGATCTTCTCTCGCCACGATATCAATATTAATCCTCAACGCCCGCATTCCCATACGTGGTCAGAACTGGAAAGGAAACCAAAAGAAAACGGCCGTTGAAATTACTGTCATTGACTAATAGTCCAAACTTTACGTTGAAGCGATGGATCTGCTTTCCCCTCCCTCTGCCTGCAGCAACTAGTCATTCATTGCAAATTATAATGCAGCAACTCTTTTAGGTTTATAATTAAGCATTCAAAGCACTCAAACAGTCCACAAATGGCCCCGAAATGATAAAATAATATGCTTTGAAGCAACTCATTATTCAAGAAACTAGAAGAGCCGCTAGTCAGCCAGCAGACGGTGTTTAAACGTTTCCAAAAGCAATGCAGAGTAACGCAATTCCTCTGGGTTTAGGCCCAATGCAGAACGGCTGAGACTAAAATAAACTATCCACCCAAACCTCAAATACGCGACCGTCTGCAGCCATCGCCTTGACTGGGATTTTCCATGTCAGTCTGAAAGAATGAACCCGCAGGATGGACCTTTAACCACGTTGGTATGAACGCTGCCCTGCCCCGTTCAACACTGCGGAAACTCACAGTAACTCCACAGGCATCTGTCTACCTCAGAGAACTGGAACAATATCCTCCACAAAAAACAGGCCAACCTTAAAATTGGGATGTTAAAAAATATATAGCAAAAAAAAACTATAGAAAAGTTAGCTCCATCGGCCTGTGGTATTGGCAGGGTTTTAAAAGGCGAATACGTAAAGCATCGGTTATTTCTCTTCTCAAAAAAAAAATTTTCAATCCCAAACATTAATCTCACCCGCCCCCAATAAACATTTGTTATCATCAAAACAGAAAGCGAATCCTGAAACCGGCTAAAAATAACATGAAAGGCGCAGCATGTGTGAAGATTATTAATAAATATGACTCAAAGACTCCTCCCCGTTTCAGCTGCAGCGGCCGACGCACTTTCCAGGGGCTCAGGAGCTTTACACACCGACCTGCCGCTAACTGCAGCCTCCGCTCAGGGGGAAGGGGAAGGGGAAGGGTAATGGTGGTGCTTCAGTTGGTGCCGCTCCCTGGGGCCATGATAGCTGTAACAGCAGCAGCGGTGGCCGCCGGCTCCACAAAGTTGAGTTTATTTTTAGGCCAGTAGTGCCCTCCCCCTCCCGGTGAGTTATTAACATTCAGCATTACGTCATGGGAGGGCCAGGAATAGCGGGGGCGGGGGCGCGGGGGGAGGGGGAGGGGGAGGGGGAGGGGGAGGGGGAGGCCATTCCCCGCCCTACCCCCCAACCCTCGGTATACAGACCGGGCGGGGCTTCCGGTGCCGCCCCGCCCCTCAGCACCCAGCTCCCTCCCAACACAGACACACACATTTACCGGCTCTGCCGCAGCGCCCTGGGTCCCGCCCCTCTGTAGAGGGTGGGCGCTTCTCTGATGGCTTCGTTGCTAAGGGCTCGCCGCACGCGCAGCCAGACGTCGTTTCGAGTCGTAACCGAAGCTGAAGTTTCCGCAGCGATTAATTTGTCTGCTGTCTTTCCCGCTCACCGTCCCCCTCTCGCTCCCCGACTGCCGAGCGGTCGGGATTCAAAGGCAGCAGGCCTGGGTGCCGGGCTCTGTCCACCCGCCCGCCGCTGTGACGAGCGCGGCCTATCGCTCCCCAGCACGCCGTGTCCCAGCACGTGACCCAGGGTTCGCCATCCCCAAATAATGTGAGACGAATAGTTGTAGTGCCTGTGGTGTGGTCATGTCACTTTCGTGGACTAGTTAATCACCAGAAGACTAGTCTAATAGGCTGCAGACATGGTTTGGTAATGATACGGTGACTTTTATTACTGATGCCCAAAAAAAATGCATATGACATGTATCGCGTCAAATCATTATTTATTTCTCCTTCAGTACTCTGAATGCTTCAGAAGCTTTGGTAAATAAATTTTAATTGTAAGGCAGATTTGAATTTTATTTAACTAAATCTACATGCATAAATGTTTTTTGTAAAGACAGCAGCTGTAAAATAACAGAATTTGGCCAGTTTTAAAATTCAGAGCACATCCAGTATTTCTGGACGTTTGGCTAAAACGGATATCTTAACTGGACCAGCTGGGGCACCACCCTGTAAAGGTTGTGTTCTGTATGTCACGATAAGTGTGTTACAGCACAATATCTATTCATGTAAAGTGATGCAAAGTAACTGTAAACTCATGTGAGAAAAATAAAACCAGAATGTATCAACATGGCTGAAAAAGAACGATTCTATAAATTAATTACTGATTAAGAACAAGATACTAGCATTCAGGTCCGGAAGAGATGAGAAAGTCTAAATTACATGTACAAAAAAGATCATAAAGAGCATGCTAGCCTCTCAGGTTATAACAGCTACTGAGCTCTCCCATGTGGGCAGCACAGTATTGAAAAGAGCCTTGGACAAGTCAGTTTCTGGAATCTTCCTATAATGGCTTAGGAACAACAAATACATCAAGGTGGGGTATGTACCAAGTTAAGCTAGGGAAAGCTAAGAAAAAATCAATTTGAAACAGTAAATTGCCATGTATGGGAAACATGCTACTCAATTAAAATGCCATGCTAATTAACAATACAAGACAATATCATCTTGCATTTATTATACAAGGGTGCATTTATAGTGACAAATGTACATCTTAAATCTTGTAAGATAACACAGCAACACAATGTCAGGGGTGCAAATGACATTGCAAGCCACAATAAAGTGTTCTCCGGAAATAGTAGAGTCTAGGCCCGAAACATCAGCCTTCCTGCTCCACTGATGCTGCTTGGCCTGCTGTGTTCATCCAGCTCTACACCTTGTTATCTCAGATTCTCCTCTGGAAACCCAGTTGATGAAGGATAAAACTGAAGCCACCTTTATATACTTATTAGGAGTTCAACATTATTGGCATACCCCTCTTTGCAAGTAGCCTCATAAATCCCCATCAGCAAAGACATTTTCAGCACTGATCCATTTACGTGACGAGGCTGGTTACCTTGATCTGGTACGCAAGAATAAACTCCAAACATCTAATCAGAGATAGTAGGAACTGCAGATGCTGGAGAATCCGAGACAACAAGGTGCAGGGCTGGATGAACACAGCAGGCCAAGCAGCATCATAGGAGCAGAGAGGCTGCAAGCAGCATCATAGGAGCAGAGAGGCTCCAAGCAGCATCATAGGAGCAGAAAGGCTCCAAGCAGCATCATAGGAGCAGAGAGGCTTCAAGCAGCATCATAGGAGCAGAGAGGCTCCAAGCAGCATCATAGGAGC